CTGACTTTCTTGATTTCTTCTTGTATTGAGGGTACTTGAAGGTCTTGTTGGATGACCCAATTTGGCACAAACCAAGGGGCTTTGGTGATTTGTCTCAAGACTTTTGATCGGAATCTTTCTAGTATTCCAATGTTAGATTTGCTAGCCGCGCCCCACAATTGGATGCCATAGCTCCAGATGGGTTTTATTATAGTCTTATATAGCAGAAGTTTGTTGTCGATTGCTAGCTGGGAGTTGCGGCCTATTAGCCAGTTCATTTGACGCAGTTTGACGCAGAGTTGCTTTCTTTTGGTCCAAATGTGTTTTTGCCAGGTAAGTCGCCTGTCCAGGTGCATACCGAGATATTTCGCTGATTCCGCCTGTGGTAGTTGGTGGTTGTTGAGCGTTACCCGAGGGGACATGTTAGCGCCACAAAGGTATTTCCACGCAACCACCCTTGCGCCTTAATGCGTCCACAGAGCGTGAGATGGGGCTGTGCGTGGAACCAAATACTATAGACCATAATTCGTTCGACTTACCGCGAATTTTGGAAGCTCCTACACTAGCACCTCTAGCGGCAAGAGTTGTAAAATGGGATAACCTTAAACTGTTACATATAGAAATGTTTTTCGGGCTTTGAAGCCGTGGTCCATTGGAATATCTTCCTGACGTTTCGTCCACAACTGTGGTGGACGTTATGAAAGGCGATGAGACATTATTAATGTTTTGGCGCACACGCTGTGTGCCTCAAAACGCGTTTCAAATCTGGATTAGGGGCCGTTACCTCATCTTTCCTATTAGAATTGCTGTTATGTTTAAAGATCTCAAATGGCCTCTCTGGTTAGTCTTGCGTAATACCGTTGATATTGGTGCAAAATGTCCTCTTCATCGAAACGTATTTGGTGGCCGTCTAGCAGTGCATGCTCCGCTACTGCAGATTTTCCTAATTTTGTTTGTTTGTTAGTTTGTCCTAATCTGAAACTTCTTTTATGCTCCGTGATCCTAGTGTTTACACTACGTTTTGTGGTGCCGATGTATGCACTGCCACAACTGTATGGAACTCTGTAGACTCCTCGTGCTGATAAATGATTCCGTTTGTCCTTGGCCGATCTCAAAGTCTGTTGGATTGTTCGAGTTGGTTTAAAAACTGTTTTGACTCTGTGTTTCTCCAGTATCCTGCCGATCTTTTCCGTGACTCTATGTATGTATTGGAGGCAAGGCCAACCCTTACGCTCATAATGCGTCTCTGTTGTCTCCGAGCGATCTTCACTGTTTTTTGGTCGAATTGCTCTATTGAAATCTTTCTTACTGTATCCATTCCAACCAAAGGCTCTTTCCAGGTGTTTTAATTCTCTCTCTAACTCGGCTGGTTCGCAGGTTCTTCTGGCTCTTTCGGTGAGAGTTTTGATGACTCCTCTTTTCTGACTGGGGTGATGGTTTGAACCACTGTGTAGGTACCGGTCGGAATGTGTCGGTTTTCTGTACACCGCGTGGGCCGGGGTTTCTCCGTGGGTTTCTCTGGTTACCAAGACATCTAAAAATGGCAGTCGCCCATCTTTCTCCACTTCCATAGTGAACTGTATTTTTGAGTTGATTCAGTTGAGGTGCCTCAGGAAGTCTTTAAGGTAAACCAAACCATGGCCCTAAACAAGAAAAGTGTCATCAACATATCCAAACCAACACTTAGGTTTCCTCGCGGCTGTGTCCAGAGCATCCATCTCAAATTTCTCCATAAAGTAGTGTTACGTACATTTTTAATTGTTTCCAAGCAAATATGCCTTGGGTTATTTTTTATTACGGAGTTAGAATTTGCCGTTAAAACCTGAAAGCGAGAAGATTTGGCCAGTCTTATCTCGGTAAATAAATTATTGAGCAAATAGCGGTGATCACGTGTTCGTTAGGACCAATCGATTCCATGATTTTTGTATTTCCGCGCCAACGGAAGGTTAGGGGGAAAACCGTGTAGAAAGGGAGAGGATTTTTGGTGCCTGTCAGATTCGAAGTCGAGAGATATGAGAAAGTGGTCAATTTTGGAGATTTTGTACCGCATGGTCGGTTTTTTGTAGATTTTTACTTATTATCAAGACATTTCTGGAGAACTTTTCATTGGAGGCAAGCCGCTGCGTTGGAGAATAGTTTTCAATCAGCCGAGTGGAGTTTTACGCAAAAGCCAGAGCAACTAACCCGCACCGGCCACCAGGACCACGTGATCACTGTTTCCTGGAACGGCTCTATACAGCTGATCCCCATTGCATTTTGGCGCTGATGCTGCCGATGGAGGCCGTTGAGGCTTGATGTCGAGATCTCCGTTGCATAACAAGTTGTATGCTACTTAAAAACATAATGGCCCCAACTTCTGGTGACGACCATATTGTTTTTTTTGCTGACTTTATTTCAGGATTTTTTTTTGTTGATAAATTGTATTCAGTTTGAGGCTTATTCTGTACTGAGTGTTTTTTAATTAACTATTTTTGTTGTTGCTGAAACACTCAGGTTCGAATGCCAGCTCCTTAAGTTTTTATTACGTTAAATTTTCCCCTCAGGAGCCTTCCCCGGCACCAGCTGGATTTGATTACAGTTGTGGTATCCATATGATAAGGGTGTCACCAAAAATATCCTAGTGATACTCTGTTCGACCTTTTTCTTTTTTTTCCTAACTAATTATTATCAACGTTTATGTTCATTGTTATCTAATTCAAAAATTGTTGCTCTGTTATAAGATCATTGTTTTTCTAATACATCAGTTGAGTGTACTTGATTTTGTGTTGTCCATCGAGCGTCCAAAAATCTAACTCACTAGCCGCTAAATACTAGCTCCTGCTCCTACTCACGCCCGAGAAAAATTACTATTTAACTTGAAATTAAAATTCATAATAGTAGTTGGCTATCACCAGACTCAAGGGGCTGCCCATTGCTACTCCATCCGTCTGTTCATAGATTTCGTTTTTCCTCTGAAAGTAGGTTGTGGTTAAGCAGTGTTCGAACAGTTTGGCGATGCCTGGTGGAAATTCTCTCTCAATAAGTTCCATTGTCTCCTTGATTGGTACCATTGTGAACAGCGAAACAACATCAAAACTTACAAGAATTT